GTTTATGGAGCAGCAGTAAAAACATTAAAAAAAGTTAAATGAAATAAAATAAAATAAAATTTTTTTTTCTAAAATTTGAAATTTTTTATGAAAATCAGCCCCCCACACGCCATTTAAAGTACAAAAAGAGAGATTTCGTTCCTTGTAACAAATCAAATATGGCAAATTAGCTTCGTTCAACCAATTTGGAACGATTTATAAGACGGATTAAATCTCCGCTTATGCGTTAATAGCGCGAATTATATCGCGCGTTAATTGTCCCAAATTGGTCAAAATGCCCAAAATGGTAATCTTTAAACCCCCGTAACTTTACGAAAAATGATCACAGGTGAAATTTCTTTTCAAATTTAAGCTCAAGACAACAATACCTTTTGAATGATATAAAAAAAATTCCGTCAAAAATGGCTAGTTAAAAAGTCAAAATTTGTCTGAAGAAACAAAAAACCCACCCCGAGCACAAATATTCCGTTACTTTCGTACCGAAAGTCGGAACAATAATATAGAATTGAAAAAATGCTTAAAAACCTTAGTTAAGGTGATTATGAGAATAAAACTGCAATCCTTGCCGAAAAATTGCGAGTCAACTTAATGTGTGGTTTGGTTGGAAGCAAGTTTTACAGAGGTCATTTTCTAAATTAATACATTACCAGGGTAAATTATTCAGGCGAGTATCTTAAGGATTGAAGAGTGGGACTGTACGGCTGATCATGCTTCATTTCGTATTGGAACGATATCTAAGACAAACTAAATCTCCGTTTATGCGTTAAGAGCAATAATTAAATCGTTCGTTCATTCTCCCAATTTACCCTAACTAAAAAAATTTCAAACTTCCACTTTCTTACAAACAATAATCACAGGTGAAATATATATATTTTTTCAAATTTGAGCTCATGACAACATTATCATTTGCATGATATGAAACAATTCTGTCAAAAAGCTATTTAGAATAAAACGATATGTCTTGAAAACAAAACTATCCCGCGCACAAATATTCCGTCAATTTTTCGAAAATTAGAACAAAAAAATGTAACCAATTTGTTTTACTGTTCAAATTTTCAGACTTTAATTGCATTATTTAGATTGTTGGATTGGATTGTGTATAATTTGCTCAAGAGCTGAATATCCTGGTTTATTTGCAGAGAGTTTATTTAGGACTAAATCCGTTTTGATCGCAAAAAATAACAGTTTTCTTAGCAGTCGTCAGTCCTAGTCTAAAATCATGAGCAAGTTGTTAGTAAAATTGTTTGCTGCAATTCTGAGGGCTTGAAAAACCAATATGCCCATTATTTTAAACCACTGATTCATGCCAGCTTTTTAAATTTATTTACGATGCTCAACGCGTATATGTACGTTAATCTTAAATTTATAACCAAAAACTGTGGGATGTAATTAAGGCATAATCAATTTTTCGAAGTACAAACTGACAAACCTCTGCATTTTCAATCAAGGCATGACAGTGCTTCAAAATTGTGGTTGATTTTTATTTCCATCCCACAAATTGGTTCTAGTATTGGAGTTTTTTCATCGAATTCAGGTCGTTCGTCCAGAAAATTAGACGTTGTTGAAGTTACAATACGAACTATCACATATTTATTGAAAACCATTTGCGCTAACTTCAGCAATTTTTTATGACAAGTCTGAGATCAGGAACTTGAATGAGACCAAATTTTTAAATCTGCGTTTTGATGATTATTTATTCATTAGCCTTTGAAAATCTTGATAAAGTAATGATTTCGTGGCAATAATTATGACTCCGGCTTCACAGCATCATTATTAAAGGGGGCGTTTCTTATGATGGAGATACCGATGCTAGAAAACTATTGTCACAGCCAGTCAGAACTGAGTACTAGAAAAAACGCAAAATCTCACAACGCTAAATAGAACGAGAGGAAAACATTAAGTGTATTAGAAACAAATAGCAAAAACAAATTAAATAAGCTGGTTTGAAATAGAAAAAAAATCCTGAAAAACACCAGAAAAATAAGAATTAAAAAATTGACAAGGTAATTTGTTATTTGAGTAAACCGAGTCTGTTGCTTGGAAGAGGAAATCGCTCTAGCCAATATATTTATATATACACATTTTACGTAGGATTTCCAAAAAGATTCCCTGAACAAAAAATTGGAGAAGTTCAAACATACATTTTTGAAGTTGAAACATTATAGAAAAATGGCTGGAAACACAAAAAATATTAAGTAGAAAAAGCCGTAATATTGAAATTAACATTTAATAAGCTAAATAAAGCCAATATTTCAGTTTAAAAAATTAGGCAAAAAAATTTTGAGTCTACTATCTAGAAAGTAAGCTCTAGCCCTGTATAGGCAAAATGCGCTATGCACAATTGTAAATTTACCATTTCGAGCTTGCTTTGAAATATACTATTCGGTCAAAAAAGTCAATTACGAAAAAACAGTCTAGTACCCGGTTGCAACACCCTTGGATGTCGCAAGGTCAACGAATAACAGCTTAGAAACAAAAAAGAGAAAAAAAACAGTTCCGTGGGGCTTGATTAGTTCCGATCTGCTATAATGCTTTTTCTGTTAACAATGATTTCGGTTTTACGCGAATTTAGGCAATAAGAATATCCAACGATTCAGTGGTTGGAAATTTTCAGTCAATCGGTCCATTCATCATGCGATCAACTTACTTGAACAAACAATATGATTACCTTGTTTTTTTTCTAAAATAACTGCTTTCTTTTGCTAAAATAAGTGGTAATAGTAAAAACTTTTTGAGATATTGGAAGTTTCCCAAAGACAAAAAACTATGGAGACGCCGCTTCAACAGGAAACGTTCTCGCAACCGGTTCTTTCGATTGAAGTTTTCATCTCAGATTTGATACAATAGTGTTTGAAAAAAATTGCAAAATTCCTAAGAACGGTTAAAGTTGAAATACTTTCTTTTCCGAAACCCATAACTTTTTCCTGCAAAGCAGGTCGTGACCGCTGAAATAGAGAAACTTTCCTAAAAACGGTTTAAAAAATTTACTTTTCCGAGGGCCACAAGTTTTCGTGTACAGAAATCAGGGTGTAGTCGCGTATGCGAAAAAGCTTCCCACAACCCGCCCTTTGGATCGAACCTAAAATCTCAGATATGGGAGGGTTCGTTTCGAAAAGATCTTAAAGTTTAGAAAAAACGGGCCCCATAAATAAATTGGCCACACAACCCCAGAATAGGGATGTTAGTTTCCGAGAAGAGTTAAAAAGATTCAAAACACGACCAAAGAACCAAAAACTGGACTATTCTCTGGGCCATACGTTTTCAGACATCCGGTTAAGCAGGGGAGTTTTTCAAATTTTTTTTATTCGTGTGGAAAAATTTCGGGCAAATATTCCCCTGCAGATGTTTTTGAAGTCTGTAGACGGTGGTGTACCGTAAAAAGAGACTGATAAAAAATGCAGGCACTTAGAGAAGAAGGCGGTGTTTTCATTGATTTTCCTTTTTCAAAATCGGTGGGATCAATTTAGCAAAAAGAAAAAACTCTCCTAAGCGACTAAACTATGAAACCCAATCCCATACAATTCCAAAAACCTGTTTTTAATCAAACAGGAATTTTAGACAAACATGCCAAGCAAGACATTTGAACTTTAAATTAGCAACGAAACAAAACTTAAGAAGCGGAAACAAAGCCTTGCCAATCTTTGAGCAGACAACAGTTGAGCCGAAAACAAATGATTTTAAACAAAATTTTAAAGTTTCAAGTCTTCCTGAAACTAGAAATAACACTTGATACTTGCTTAACGCACAAGAAAAACCGTGATGTGGCAACTAAGGCGGCAAAACTTGAGCGATGAAAGGAGTGTCCTACAAATCAGGTTTACCAGAAATCACATACTGGAAAAACAAGATCCGGCCAGGATCGAGTCCCTAATCTTAGAGTGCAAACCGACAGCATTACTTCAAGGCCAAGTGCAAAGGAACCTGGAAGCTGTTAAGAAACAATAAAAAAAAAACAAGTTAAAAAGTATAGTTTCCGATTACAAGACACTTGCTTTCGCAAGAGTTAACTTTTGAGAAAAAAGTTCAATTTTCTGATAAAGCTGAAAACTTAATTTTTTTGTTTTTCATATCACGCTTGCTGACTGTTTTTGTTTTTGAGTACGATAATTAAGCAAAAACATTAATCAAACAATTTCAAAAAGCTAGATCTTGAATTTTTCTGTTTTTTTTTCTTCATATTGGAAATTTTTCAACGCCGTTTATCGGGTTTCAATTCCAAGTGCCGGTCTAAATTTGTTACTACACTCGATACTGGCAAGTATTTCTTGGGTGCCTTCAATCGTTCTTTCCCACATGTGTGATGTTGGAGCAAGAAGTTGAAACATTTTCAAAAGCGATACAAAAATTTTCGTCTGAAAAACAATACAGCGCTGATTTGAAATATCCAGACAAAACCAAACTTTAAAACGCGTCTTACACAAATTGGGTCGAGATTGGACAAACAGTGTAGACAACAAAAGTTGCTTAGTGTTTTACCAGAAAACAAACTAAAGTTGAAAATACAAAGGCGTTTGTCTCAAATTGGATCAAACTTATTTCAATTTTTTTTGCTGAACTCCGAACCAAATGTTACCTACAAAAATGGGTAATTTTGGCTTTTTTAGTGTATCAGGAATTGCGCTAAAAATCCCAAATTAATTAAGGAGAAAGGTCTATCAAAAAGAACCTCTTACATAGCTCGACAAAGTTCTATCAGGGTAAAATCTCTATAAATCTGTATAATAGAATACATTTATGCTTGATAGCCAGAAGTTCTAGCGTAATTCTTGATTAACTAAATATAAATTATACCATACTTTTTGTCTCTTCACTTTTTATTTAATCTCGAGCCAATTTGAGAAAAAATGCCTTTGTATTTTCAACATTTGTTTCTTTTATCCGGATAATTTAAATAAGCACTACAGTCCAGCCAGCGAAACACATTTTTTTACTCAATATTGATAGCAAAAAGTTCATATCAAAAATCAAATTCTTTCAGGCATTTGCAAAGTCAACACATTCAATCAAACAATACAAAATCAAAAAAATGCAAACTACAAAAGTACAATTAGTTTTATTCCTTCTCATTCACCAAGAGTCCTTCTTGCAGAAACATAAACAATACTTGGACAGTTTTGGCAATATCCGCACCACGCAGCCTTCTTTCTACTTGCTCTATCAATTTTACCATTCTATTCACTGTTTTTGATCTATATTTTTCCTCATTTCCAGTAGCTGTAACTGAAATCAACTTCGAAAACTTCGGATTCTTAGGGTCTTTTTTATCCAAAGATATCGCGAGTTTGATTGCACTGTCATATTCCATTTCGAGTTGCTTCGCATTGACCCATATTGCACAGGAGACGTCTCCGAACTGCTGTTTCAAAGACCTTCCTATTTTTGCCGACTCTTTAGCATCCTCCAATTTTTCCTGAGCTCTCTTGAATTCCATCCCGGTTTGTGTACCTTCTTCAATTTTTGACGCCATTTGCGGGTCAAGCTCCATTAAAATCGGCTCCAAGTTACTCGATCCGTTTTTAATACAGTGTCTCACGCATACAGGCACAAGTATCGCCTTCAGATCGTCGAACAGCTCTTTGTGATTTGGTTTCACCAAATCTATCGCCGATTTCAACTCTGTATTCAGTTTTTTCAGTTCGGCTATTTTGTTCTTTTTCGCTTCATATTGCTCACACACGTGCGCTGATTTTCTTGTATGTGATAGTGAGACAAAATCAACTCGCTCGTCAATATTAATAGCGTTCTTCAGATCTGGTTTACAAAACATCGGTTCGAACATAGGCAGAGGAACCGCTTGAGCTATTACAGTAAGGCGACTTTTCGGTTTTCCGGCAAGGCGCGCGGAATTTTCTCGGTTCAACATTCTCAAACTTCGTTTTTTGATTCCTTTCGAATCGCAACTTTCGCGTAACTTGTCCAGCGGTGATTTCTTGCTGCTGTTTCCAGGAGTTGATTTGTCTCGACTTATATTATTTGCCCCTTTTTGTTGACCGCTCAATGTCATAGAAGCTTGATTTTCTGGCCCAGATATCACTTCGCTTCTTTTCTGAAAACTTTTTTGTCCGCCTTTTGACACTTCTGAACCTATTGCAGACTTGCCTGAAATGTGTTTTTCGACAGGCTTTTTAGTATGAGTTTCATTAGACAGTTTTTCATTCTGTGAACGGTCGCTGCTATTTTCGAGCATCCGATTTGCCAATACACTAGTTTGCATTACAGATTGCTCGTGCTCAAAAAGGTCAGTTAGATTTTGGGACAACTTGACATAAGGCAGTTCCTTATTTGAAGCTTTTGGTAATGCGGGGTTCCTATTTTCTATGTCAATATTGGTGTAATTAGCTACTTGGGGACTGAAAGACTGGTCGTCATGATCAGAAAATATTAAGCTAGACTCTACACCTTCAAGATTTTTCATCGATTTATTTACACTCTCTGTCTTCTTTTCAGCCTCTGTAAAAATTTTGCTTTTCACATTTAATTCGGCCATGTTCTGAGACAAAACATCATTTCTAGGGCTACTCAAAAACGAAAATTCACTGTGCTGTTCCTCAAAATTCGAGAAAACTGAAGCTGCAGACATTTCAGCAACGTTATTCTGTGAATTCAAAAGCAACTCTATACTGGCTTTAGAAGATGAAACTTCAGTGGACGAAAGTTTCGGCGCATATCTGTAATCGGACAACTTTTCATCGCTACGACCATTCACATCAGTAACATTGCCATTAATTCCATCCGACAAATCGAGAGTTCGATTGTTATTCGAATAGGACAAGTTGAGGTTGCTCATGCCCCCTTTCAAACTGTCCAGAGACATTTTAGGCTGAAGGGGCACAAATGAGTAGTCGTTTGATGAAAGGGGTTGCGAGAGGGGTGCACTTGGTATGTGAATTGAGGGGTCGTTGCTGAGAACACCAGTGTTGCCCAGATCAAACTTAGTCGAGGTCAAGACGGAATCGCTGAAACAAGGCGAGACATGATGAAATTCTAATTCAAATTCAGAACAGAACGAGTTCTCAAAATAGGTACTTCTCCTAAATACATCAGGATAGGTACTTTTCTTTGAGGTGCTTAAGTTTGCTCGAAAAAACCTTCACGATAATCACTTCTTACTTCGCGAAGTGGTCGGAATAACTAGAAAAACTTAAAAGATACTTCATTACAAAAAATAGCTGAGCTCCCCGTTATTTGTTATACAGAAATTATTACTCGGAGATCAAAAAATGACTCATTTTCTAAACCACTCAGCGATCGAGCGTCAAGAAAAAAATACGTCACACTTAAGCGTTTTAATTTTTATGAATCTTAAATGAGTATGCTGTTTTAAATTATCCGTACAAAAAACGTGAAATTCAAATTGCATTTTTCTCAAATCGGAGCGACTTTAGAGAAAAAATTAAGACAAAACTTGTTTAGAGTTTTAGCAGAATTATATGGCGTAATTTGTTTTGACCAAAATTCAATCATTTTTTGGCTCTTTTAGTCAACCAAAAAATTACGCTCAAATTACCGAGTCAATTACTGACAAAATATATCAAAGTGAGCCTGTGGCGTTTTTTATCAAAACTAGAGCATAAGATTTTAAGTATACTCTCCAAAAAATAGTATAAATTAAGTTATTTTGGTTTGCTAGTTTTGATCAATTTTAAGCCGTTGTTCAACTTTAGCCGTTTCAATTTTTTAAACCATTTAAAAATAATTTTTGGAGATTTTATTTTTCTTAAACTTTGATGGGCAACGCAAGAGGCTCACTTGGATCTAAGTTTTTCAGTAACTGACCCGTTAGTTTTAACGAAATTTCTGAATGACTTATAAAACCAAAAATGATCGAACTTTGGGCCTCTACTCCAAAACAAACAAACCATAACAATTCTGCTAAGACTCTAAGCTAGTTTTGCCTTCTCATTTTTTCTCTAAAATCACCGCAATTTGAGAAAAAAGCGTTTTGAACTTCAAGTTTTTTGAGTTTTGACCGGATAGTTTGAATCAGCACAGTCCTTTTTTCGATTGAAACTAGCCCTTTTTGAATAAACTGGATTGAAAGATAAATTTACATTACGCTGGGAAATCTAAAGTTGCACAGAACAATGAAAAAAATCAAAATCTAGACAAAAATTTTTAGGACGAGCTACGACAAATTTTCGGCTTAAAGAGATTCGACCCAAGTTTTTTCGTCTTCTTTGACGCTCGGTCATCATTTCTCAATTCTAGATACGGCTGTTTATGAACATTGTTCGAGACAAAGCTTTGAATTTTTTGTAGATAGTTTTTTGATACTTTTTTCAAGTTAGTTTTTCAACCTTTCTTGAAAATTAGCTTTTTTAATCGCTGGTCAACTTATGATGTGCAATTTTAAGGGCAAATTCATTTTAATGCTTTCGCCTGTTTCAGGAGGGATGGATCGTAAAATTTTGTTTTGAAAATTTACATAGATGCCTTTTGCCTGTTCCTATAAAAAAAGGCCTTTGGCCTGTACAGGGGTGATGAATCATTAAAATTTTTGCTGTAAAAAGTTTTGTAGCTTGAATTTTTTTGTCTACAATTTTGTTTATTCCGTTTATACAGTTTCGTTTTCGGCTTAAAAAGATTCGACCAAATTTTTTTTCGGCAGAAACGAAACTAAGGGCCTAAAAATTCAAGCTAAAAAATTCTTAAAGCAAAATTTTGTTTGACATATCATCCCTGCAACAGACAGGAGCATTAAGGACGATTCGCACTTGAAACTGCACGACATAAAATGATTAAGCCGATATAAAATACGCTGAACCCGTTCAATAGAAAAAATATAAAAAATTATTGAGAATCAGAGTAGGAAAATTTACAAACTACAAAACAACTTTCAATTATAGTAAAAACTGCTTGAATCAAAAAGTAAAAAAAAAACAGTTTTTAAAAAGCCACTTGAAATACTGTATTTAAATTGCATTTGAAAAAAAAGGAAAATCAGCCGACAGAAATTAGGCTGAAAAACACAAATCCGAAAAAAATCAACATTTTATCAAACATTATTTACCACTCCAAGAGAAGTTAAGGGTAGTTTTATTAGAACTGATGAGCATGTCACTCTGTGAGCAATTCAAAAAATGTAAAAAACGGGAGAAAAGTCTAGTTCCCGATTACAAGTCACTTGCTCACACAAGTCACTTGCTCACGCTAGTGCAAAAAATGGTGCACACAAACAATTTTTAAAAACAATTGAACAAAAATCGTTGAGAAAATTAAAAAATCACAACGCACTAAAGCAAAAAAATGAGCGCCAAAGCGAAAGGACTTCAAAGACAAAATAAATGAACAAAAACAAACATTTCAAAAAATACAGAGGATTAATTAGATGTAGCATTCGACTATCAAATATAATAACTAACGGAAAGAAATGAGAAAAAAATGAACCTGTATTAAAAATAACGAAAACAACTAAAAATGACATTGCAAAATAATAAACTTATCCAAATTACTTGGATCTAAGATCTAAAACTCACTTGGATCTAAGTTTTTCAGTAACTGAGCCGTTAGTTTTAACGAAATTTCTGAATGACTTATAAAACCAAAAATGATCGAACTTTGGGCCTCTATTCCAAAACAAACAAACCATAACAATTCTGCTAAGACTAAGCTAGTTTTGCCTTCTCATTTTTTCTCTAAAATCACCGCAATTTGAGAAAAAAGCGTTTTGAATTTCAAGTTTTTTGAGTTTTGACCGGATAGTTTGAATCAGCACAGTCCTTTTATCGATCGAAACTAGCCCTTTTTGAAAAAACTGGATTGAAAGATAAATTTACATTACGCTGGGAAATCTAAAAAGTTGCACAGAATAATGAAAAAAATCAAAATCTAGACAAAAATTTATAGGAAGAGCTACGACAAATTTTCGGCTTAAAGAGATTCGACCCAAGTTTTTTCGTCTTCTTTGACGCTCGGTCATCATTTCTCAATTCTAGATACGGCTGTTTATGAACATTGTTCGAGACAAAGCTTTGAATTTTTTGTAGATAGTTTTTTGATACTTTTTTCAAGTTAGTTTTTCAACCTTTCTTGAAAATTAGCTTTTTTAATCGCTGGTCAACTTATGATGTGCAATTTTAAGGGCAAATTCATTTTAATGCTTTCGCCTGTTTCAGGAGGGATGGATCGTAAAATTTTGTTTTGAAAATTTACATAGATGCCTTTTGCCTGTTCCTATAAAAAAAAGGCCGTTGGCCTGTACAGGGGTGATGGATCATTAAAATTTTTGCTGTAAAATGTTTTGTAGCTTGAATTTTTTTGTCTACAATTTTGTTTATTCCGTTTATACAGTTTCGTTTTCGGCTTAAAAAGATTCGACCAATTTTTTTTTCGGCAGAAACGAAACTAAGGGCCTAAAAATTCAAGCTAAAAAATTCTTACAGCAAAATTTTGTTTGACATATCATCCCTGCAACAGACAGGAGCATTAAGGACGATTCGCACTTGAAACTGCACGACATAAAATGATTAAGCCGATATAAAATACGCTGAAACCGTTCAATAGAAAAAATATATAAAATTATTGAGAATCAGAGTAGGAAAATTTACAAACTACAAAACAACTTTCAATTATAGTAAAAACTGCTTGAATCAAAAAGTAAAAAAAAACAGTTTTTAAAAAGCCACTTGAAATACTGTATTTAAATTGCATTTGAAAAAAAAGGAAAATCAGCCGACAGAAATTAGGCTTAAAAACACAAATCCGAAAAAAATCAACATTTTATCAAACATTATTTACCACTCCAAGAGAAGTTAAAAGTAGTTTTATTAGAACTGATGAGCATGTCACTCTGTGAGCAATTCAAAAAATGTAAAAAACGGGAGAAAAGTCTAGTTCCCGATTACAAGTCACTTGCTCACGCAAGTGGAAAAAATAGAGCACACAAACAATTTTTAAAAACAATTGAACAAAAATCGTTGAGAAAATGAAAAAATCACAACGCACTAAAGCAAAAAAATGAGCGCCAAAGCGAAAGGACTTGAAAACAAAAGAAATGAACAAAAACAAACATTTCAAAAAATACAGAGGATTAATTAGATGTAGCATTCGACTATCAAATATAATAACTAACGGAAAGAAATGAGAAAAAAATGAACCTGTATTAAAAATAACGAAAACAACTAAAAATGACATTGCAAAATAATAAACTTATCCAAATTACTTGGATCTAAGATCTAAAACTCACTTGGATCTAAGTTTTTCAGTAACTGACCCGTTAGTTTTAACGAAATTTCTGAATGACTTATAAAACCAAAAATGATCGAACTTTGGGCCTCTATTCCAAAACAAACAAACCATAACAATTCTGCTAAGACTCTAAGCTAGTTTTGCCTTCTCATTTTTTTTCTAAAATCACCGCAATTTGAGAAAAAAGCGTTTTGAACTTCAAGTTTTTTGAGTTTTGACCGGATAGTTTGAATCAGCACAGTCCTTTTTTCGATTGAAACTAGCCCTTTTTGAATAAACTGGATTGAAAGATAAATTTACATTACGCTGGGAAATCTAAAAAGTTGCACAGAATAATGAAAAAAATCTAAATCTAGACAAAAATTTATAGGAAGAGCTACGACAAATTTTCGGCTTAAAGAGATTCGACCCAAGTTTTTTCGTCTTCTTTGACGCTCGGTCATCATTTCTCAATTCTGGATACGGCTGTTTATGAACATTGTTCGAGACAAAGCTTTGAATTTTTTGTAGATAGTTTTTTGATACTTTTTTCAAGTTAGTTTTTCAACCTTTCTTGAAAATTAGCTTTTTTAATTGCTGGTCAACTTATGATGTGCAATTTTAAGGGCAAATTCATTTTAATGCTTTCGCCTGTTTCAGGAGGGATGGATCGTAAAATTTTGTTTTGAAAATTTACATAGATGCCTTTTGCCTGTTCCTATAAAAAAAAAGGCCTTTGGCCTGTACAGGGGTGATGGATCATTAAAATTTTTGCTGTAAAATGTTTTGT